TAATAATAATAATAATAATAATAATAATAATAATAATAATAATAATAGTAATGCAAGTAATTAATTTAAATGGGCCAAGAACAAAATTCTCCAAAAGGAAAGGTTGTTAAAACTTGTTCAGTACAAACTCACACGTACTACCTTTTGGAACATCTGCTGCTTGCTAATATTACAAAATACAGTCCTATGGTGGCTGAGTGCTGCTCATCCAGCCAGGCAGTTCCAGTAAGCCTCAGTGGCATGGCACAGGAGTTTAGTTTGGACCACAGCCCTAGGTTAAACAGCAAAGAGCACTAGTGGTGCTCTGAAACAGGACAATGGAAGAGAGTATTGGCATATCTCAGCCAATATCTCAGTATAGGCTCATCTACAGCACCAGTAGGGTGTAAAAGCAGTAGAAGGAGATAGGATACTTCCTCCTCTCCTCTTGGCTCATGCAGGACTCAGGGTATGTTAATTACAAGGATTCTCAAAGCTTTCACGGTGATAAGATCTGGGAGAAAGAAATATTTTGAACTAGAACAGGGGAATTTCAGAAGATAATGCAAGGCCTGTGTCTCACTTGTGTTACATGGTAATTTATTGTAACTCCTGAATGGCCATCTGCTAAGTAGGCTTAGGGAAATAATCTCACAGTTTCAGTCCTTTTGGTGTTTCTATGCCTGTTGGGGTTATGGGTATAAACTGAAAGATCAAACCAAGTTAAACTAGAAATGTGACAGCACCCAAGGCACAGAAACTCCATTTGAGCTGCTGTAGCATGCTGGCTCAGGGGAGGCTGAAGGTAAAAGCCAAATCTCTCTACATTTCCCAGACAGGTACAGTTGCTGCCAGTGTGGAACTTGGCATTTAATTCCCTACAAGACCAGAGGGCTGTGACATAATTGCCTTCAGTCCTCCTGCCATTTTAATTCCTGGGAGATAAGGAGCAGTCTGCAGCTTGCATCTTAGAGACTCTTTGCCAGCAGCCATAGGACAACACAGCCAGCGTGGAGCCAGGCACAGCGCTGCCAAGGGATCGAGCCTGGCACTTCAGACAGGGTTACCAGCACAAGCTGCACTGAAGACACTCTGGACCTCGAGAAGAGGCACAAACAGATCAGGTTTGTCTCCAAGGCCAGTTTGCAGGGGTTCTGACATTGCATGTTTTAAAGATTTCTACAATTCTTTGTTAAAATAAAGTTTCCAAGTAGGATCTTTAAAACAGTTCATTCCAATACTGGTAACCCGACTTTTCTATAACCCCTGGAGAGGGTAAATGGAACTGTTTAGTTTAGCATTCTCACACAAAAATCAGCCAGGTCAGCTATTTTACAGAAGACAAATTAAAGCTTTGGGCAATCACTACTTATTGAATCCAAGGTGATTTCTAGAACTCTGTCACCACATGCCCTGTAACATGACAAGGCTAATCCACAGGCTGTGCTCTGCCCTCTGTTCTTGCCTTTGTAATGCCTAAGATACTGAACACCTCAGTGCCTTGAGTGCAGACCTTCCAGGCAGCAGGTCAGTGCCAGACCCAGTGATTGCCTACCCTGCAGTGCATGAGCAAACCCAAAACATGCACATCTGGCACAAGTTCCACGTGTCCCATCTTGTATTATTACTCCACATTCGGGTCCTTTGTTACACATCAAAGCTTTCTGCTCCTGAGCAGACCTGTCTTCTCTCTGGCTTATCTATACACAGTGAGAAGACACTGTGCACTGCACAGCTGTTAATGCACTTAGCCCTTCTGTCTAGTTTTATATTTTTTTACCTACTCGAGAATAATAAATTAACTTTAAAAACTGCTTAAGGCATAAGAGGGAACTCTGTTCATTTGTTTGGATGAGATGGAAGGAAGAAATTGAAGTATTCAATAATCCCTGCTTTCTCTCAGCATTATTTCTGTTCAGGATGAGAACTACAGCTTGATGACAGTGCTTGCATACCCTTGAGTTAAGCCAGTTTACTCCCAATGAGAGGAATGAAAAGAGAAATAGTGCAAAGAAGAGAAAAAAAGAACGAATAGCCCAGAGGTTTCAAGAAGAGGACACACTTCAGGAAAGCAGGAAGCTGCTTTGCAGCACACTTACTGTTTTTCACAAGGAGTGAGTAATTTGCTTGAGGTGTATCTATACCCCAGGAGTAATTCCATGTTTCATGGGAGAACTGTGAACACAGAGATATTAAAGACTAACAGCACAAGTAAAGGGCAGCTAATAACTGTGGTGATTAAGCTACCAAGAGGAAGTCCCCACAGTGCTGTTAAATCATGATTCAACACCTGAATGTTTGAGATTAACATTACATTTGGATTTAAAGAAAAATAACATGTCTATTCAGCTACTTGAGGTCATATTTTTAAGTTCTTCACAGTAATCATAAGGGCAAGAAAGCTACTCTCTCTTAAAAATGAAGATTTACTCCCACACCAACAACTAGGAGATGCTACTTTAAGGAAGCAAGAAAACAAACACACACAAAGAACCACTATAGTGAGAAAGCAGCAATAAAACCATAGCATCTGGCAGCTAGAAATGTGTGGCAGAGGATTACAGCAGAAAAGGTAAGCATCTCTTAGCAGGGGCAGACACTTGAAAGGGATCATATGGAAGCAGACGTACTATTCAGAAGAGAAAAGGTTCCCCCTAGAGACATAACAGCGAAGAAAAAAACCCCAGCTCAGCTCAAATCTTCTGATTCCTGGAATTGAAGAGAGCTGTTATGAAAAAATATCTGAAGATTTCCACTATGCCAGCACCCAGTGCCATCTTCCAAGCATCTCACCTCTCCTTGCAGCATTTTTCAACTGTCCCAACATACAAACAGGAATAGATTTTCAGTGGCAGGTATCTCTGCTTCTACCATTTCTGTGTGCCAGGGCAAAGGAACAAGTGTCACTGCATTACATGACTCAGATACTTAGGGCAACGTATACTTATCATTGTTACCAGTGTGCACCTGCTTTCCCTGCTTACAGATTACAGACTAAAGCGAAATCAAAGACTTTAAAGCATCAGTCATAACTGCTTTTCTTCCAGTTCTACATCAAAGTCCTTTGCCAGTGTCCAATGACAAAATAAATCTCCATCAGTCACAACCAGAAGCCACAGCCTTCTGCTGCTGCAGGGCAAAAGGACCATAGGCTGAAGTTCCTAGAGCCCAGTCATTTTCATTTTAGCTTGGTCACTCTCTTGATCCAGGGTACAAATTTGCTGACCTTTGTGTACACACCGGGTGAATCCTTCCGACCACAGCCATACCCCCAGGAAGTGATGCCCAAAATGATCCAGCGCCCATTTGACCTCTGACACATGAGTGGCCCTCCACTGTCCCCTTGACAGCTGTCCACCCGTTTATCTTCAGAGAGGTTCCCGGCACAAATCATGCGGTTAGTGAACTTCTGCCCGTAGCGGACCTCACAGTCTTCCCGTGGGAGAAGAGGCACCACCCCCTGCAGCAGCGTTCTTGAATAGGACTTCCCTGGAACAGAACAGACCAGCCAGACTGATTCATGTGCAGACTACAGCAGCGACCTGGAGCAACAGTGCTCACTACAAAACCTTGTACACTTCATGTCAAGTCTGCGGCACAGAAATACGCTGAGCTCAGCATCTCTGAACCACCAGAACTGCAGAAAACAGTGATGCCAAGCCAGACCACAAAAAAAGAGCTGTAAGATCAAAGATATGGGGAAGAGGTTTGGAGAAAAAGGTTAGATCAAAGGATGAGTCTTACTCCTGGTTCTGCCAACAAGCAACTTGAACCTTATTCAATTTATTTCACCTCTCAGAACCTCCACTTCCTCCTCAGTAAAACAAGGACAGTGTTTTCTCAAGTGAATAAATGCAGTAATAACTGTTAAGTTCTCAATCCTCAGAGAAGTTTTAGAAGATGTTTCAGAGGCATTCAAATATTATTCAAAGGGAGCTCACTTCATCTTTGGCCAGATTTGTCTCTATTTGATCAAATCTCTTTATTACCCCAAGGTTGCTCAGAACATAAGGCTCATGTGCTATATTAGAGTATGACCTTTCTGTGCTCAAGGTTTATGTAAGTTCACAAGGTAGTAGATAACTGCTCCTCTCTTGGAAAGCTGGGTGTTGTGCGTGGGAGGGATTCTAGCCACTAAGCCCCAGCACAGCTTAAGTTAGTTACATGGCTAAGTTGCTCCTTGATCCTCGCCAGACATCCTGAAGTGACATGTGCAACTGGCACAACTGACTCCAAAGGCAAATGTGTACTTGCAGTTAAACAGTTGGGGTAATAGCTAGAGAAAAAGCTGGTAAGGATGAGCAAGTCCAAAGTCAACAGACAAGCTCCTGGGGCTTTTGACAGCAAGTCTTGATAAACATATGGCTTTGCTCCAGTCATAGCAGCCCCAGAAAGGCGTCCCAGCTCTCTTTAACCTAGGAAGCTTCATAGCAATGTGCTCAGTGGACAGGTACAAGCTGTTTTGAATCCAGTGCAGAAACCAGCCTCAGAGCTCATCTTCCCTGCAACAATATTGAGGGAGGTTGAGTCTGAGAGAGATTCCTTCCACCTCACTTCCAAGCTCCACTTCACTACTACAGTATCATGAAGAAGCCAGGAGATCAGGGAAACATGAGGGCTTCCCACAGGCTTGGTATAGCAGCTCTGCACAGGCTCCCTAAGGGGTCTGCTGTAGACAAAAACATGTGCAGAAATGGGAAGAAAGAGAGTATTGTGGCCAGACAGCAGCATTGGTCTCTGCTTCAGAGCGATGCTATGGAAACCAAAGCTTCCACCATGAGCAGACTCAAGAAGCCTCAAAATCAGAAGAAGACACAAAGGCACAAAACCCACCTCACCTCCCCACTCCTAAACACCACGCAGTGGCACAGACAATGGAAGCAGTGAGAACACAGCCTTGAGCTGATATAAATTAATGGCCCATATAGGCTTCTGAACCCAGACTCCCCCACCTTTCTTGCCCCTCAAAGCACCGCCACTCACCTGTGTCTCCCCAGCCGGAGATGATGCAGGCTTGCCTGTTGATGTCAGACCTCTCTTTCCTGTCGGGCAGGCAGACGGGCAGAACATGGCGATTGAAGGACAGACAGTGCCCTTCTCTGCCCCGCACCCGGACCAGGGCTATGTCATTGTCATTGCTGCCAGCCCAGTAGTTCCTGTGCAGGACAATCCGCTCCACAGGCAGCTCCCTCTCAAACTCATCCTTCACGCCTGTGTGGTAATCGCCCACCCGCAGCAGGTAGCGCCGCACATCAACACCGAACCTGGAGAAAAAGAGACTCAGGACCTCCTACTAAGAGGGAAAAAGTCTCAGTTGCTACGAGACTGAACCACCTCCTCACACCACACTGATAAATCAGTGCCAGCTGCAGGACTGTGGGACCTCTTTAGCAGATCTGATCATGCCAGCTGTTGCAGTCAATGGGTGTCCCCCGTCACCATCTACCATGCACAGGACTTTTTTCCTATTAAGATGGCTATAATAGTTACAACAGGGTTCTGAACTGATCTGTTCACAGTTCTTTACTTAAGAATGGCAAAATGCTGGTTCCCTTTAAGTTGTAAAGCCTCAAAGCTAAAAGGCCAGGTGTAAGCAGTGAAGGATAAAGCAAGTCAGTGTTGAGTCATCCCCACAAGTACTCCAAGATCACACAGATCATAACCTGAAGGTCTTGGTTTATAAACTCTGCTCATGTGGTTCCACTGGGCTGGGAGGATAAACTCATATGAGGTTATCTTGTTCATCACTGAGTATCCCTTGGGGCTCCCCACTCCCAAACACACCTTTTGAAGCAGTGGGCTGCAGTCACCACCCAGCAGCTGCTGATCAGTGTTGCCCCACACAGCAGACGAGTATCTCGACGAAAACCCTTCAGCCGAAGTGAGGCCTGCCATGGCCAACCGCCTCTGAAGAAGAAACACAGAAATAACAGATGTCACACACATGGGAGCCGTTTTCCTTTCTTCCCATCCACTCTGCCCCATCTGGGCTCAGCTGGTGTGCATTCTTCCCTACATAAACCCACTGGTTCAAATCAAGTTCAAAAATCACCAGTGAAAATGCGTCAATGTACTCAACATTTGCCAGGCAATTTCCAGAGCCTGACAGAAAGCCAGAATCAGTCTGGCTCTCCCAACAGTTACAGGGTAGTACCTGGGAGACTTGTTTCCACCTATGATCCTTTTCTTGCGACGGTGGAGAAGGCGCATCCCACACACACCAGACTCTGGACCTGCACAGTGAAGTTAGAGCAGTTGTGTAGGGACCTTCAGCTTAAGTATCAGCATTGCTACCACAGAGCCAAATACCATTCACCTTCCCCGAGGGCATTAATCCTCAAGGTGATCAACTGCACTCTGTTGTGCACGTGGAATTCATTGAAGATTTGGTCCCATAGATTTCCGCAGTTTCAGTGGAGGTGCTTACCTGCAGTGTCTATGGTCTCATGCCAAGAATGGGACCTAGACCTACACATATATCGTCAGTCCTCTAATATCAAAGCTTGCTCATGGTTGCAGGGTTCTAAGGAAGGGTACTTTGCTGTGGGGAAGTTCTGCACACTCAAAGGCCTGACATGGGTGGAGCTCCTCAGACTAGTCTGGAGCACCCTGTGCTCCTAAGAAGAGACAATGAAAACAAGGAAAAAGTAGGAGATGCAGGACAGGATATGCTTATTTTGTAGGTGCAGTTTCAGCTAGAGACAAGAATGACAGGGAAAAATCATAAAAACATGCAGAGATCCTACAACTGGAGCACCAGGTTCTTGCATAGAAGAAATGGGCATGTCACCTGTTCTTCTGATATCTTGGACCTTCTCTTCCACGTAGTCACAGATCACACCAGCATCCTCACTGTGCCAGCAGCTGTGAATCGTGGTGTCAGACCTGGCACACTGCCCCAGGGTGTGCTCCGTGCCACTGCATTCTATGTTGTCCAGATGGATGGGCCCATGGCCTTCGCCAAAATAAGCCATTGCTCTGGCTTTTGCGGTACCACTGCAATTAGAGAGAGGGTGGCTAATCTGCAGTGAGCAGGAGGCAAGTGAACCTGAGGCACCAGCACACTTTAAGAGGAATAATATTTATGTGTCACTGCACACACAGACAATAGTACAGTGAGAGCAGGACCCTACTCCCTCATGCATATGCCAAAACTAAGAAACTAAGCCCTGAGAAACAAGTCCAGAAAGAAGTGCTCCCCCTGAGAGCTGTTTCTATCTGTAGGACCCATGTACCACAGCTCTTACCTGAACCCCAGTTGCCTGCAAACCACTGTGGCATCTCTGTCCGTCCAGTCATCATCACAGACACTGCCCCACTGCCCATTCAGTAACACCTCAACTCGTCCCTCCTTGGTGCTTTCTCCATCCACCAGCCGTATGGGAGGCCCTGAAGGAAAAAACACATGGGTTGCTGCAAGCAAAACCACCAGAAGTGTCAGGTGTCCAAAACTTGGGTTCTACAGAAAAAGATGAATCCCAGACATCAGTAAGCTTAAAACAAAAAGATTAGGAAAAAAAAAAAGAAAAAGAATAAAGAAGTATGTCTATATGAAGACATTTTACCTCTGTGCTGAATCAGAAGACTACATACATAATAATTTATTTAATACATACTGGAAATCATCAGTGGATCATATTCTGAAAGCTGAGTAAAGAGGAGAACAAGAACAGAAGGAAAGTTATTAACTCCTGAGCCAAGAGCAGACAAGCTTAAACATGCCTGGGAAAGAAATCTATTAAATTATAAAACTATTACAGTACTCTAAGCAAGAGAAGAGTTCTACATCCAGGAAAAACAAAAATGTTGGATGTCAACTATTTCAATAACAAATGTCTGACAAACTGGAAAGTCTCCCGTAGTAAAGAAAAGGGAGAATATCGGGCATTATATAAATGAGGACATTATGCTAACTTGAAATACCCTCATAATTTGAATTAAAAGTGTGCCATCCACACAAGGAAGTGCAAATTTTCACAACACAGCCCCTTGCATCCAAAGTCCTCTTGTCTTGGCAAGGTGTGACACTAATGTAACTACACCAGTTTCCTAAAGGGTGTAGTTAAAGGAGTCCCTTGAGGAAGGGGTCCCTGCACACAAAAGCATCCACTGTCCCTCACCCCCTCGGGATTGTTTCATAGGCTGCCAACACAACTCTCTCCAGTTTCCATTTATCTACTGGTCTGACTGTAGATCTGGTGGAGCCACAGCTCTATGGCCCTGCCCCAAGACAGCCAGGGCTCATTCCTCCTCAAAAAGCAGACCCCTCGTTGAAACAGCGCAGGGAGAACTCCCATGTCTGCCAGAGCCTCCAAGGGAACAGACACTTTCCCACCATCCAAGGCTAGAGCAAGGTGAGTTACCCAGGCTGCCATCCATGACTGTGTTGCTTTCTGGGGAACAGCGGACTCCCAGATCTTCGGCGTGTGAGCAGTCATGCTGCCCCCAGTTGCTGTGGGGACAGTCCAGGAGGGACAGCTCTGTCCCCACACATGCCACATCATCCAGTAAGATAAAGCCTTGGCCAGCAGCATAGTCCCCTTCAGAGGCCAGGGCAGCAGGACCACTAGAGGAAGGAAACAGAACACAACACAAAATTCATTAAAACTCTTAATGCCACAGAGGGACCCAAGCTCAGACCCAAACAGAAACTCCCCTGAAGAGCTTAACTATGATATTGGAGCCTCCTGACCTAAACCCCTCAGCAACACACAGAATAGCAACCAAGCACCTTCACCTCTCACCAGCTTCAGTTTTCAGGGAGGCCTGCTCAGACCAGTCCATTTTCTAGTGTCTGATCAAAGGCACAGTCATAGTACAGAGGGCCAGCAGAGGCTGCTTTGCAGACATGACAGTAGGTACATCAATTTGGGGAGGGGTTAGCAGAGCAGGCATCAAAAAGATGCCTGAGAGAGGCATCAAAAAGAAGTACTTCTTTTTATAGGAATCAGCTACCTGGAATTGAAATGCAGAAAACTGTATAATGATAATAAACCTTCTAGTAAAGACAGCATTGAAGGAACAAGGTCCAGCCTATCCCAGTGAAGGGTGATGGAATCTAAACCTTGAAATTAGGAAGCACAGACACTACACACACTCTCAGTCCTACCTGAAGCCCAGCTGCCTGCAGACCACCTGGGCACCGAGGTCTGTCCAGCCATCATCACAAACTGTGCCCCAGTCTCCATTGTAATAAACTTCTACCCTGCCTTCACTGGGGCTGCGGCCACCAGCCAGCCTGACAGTGCCCTCTGCAAGGGGGAGAGAAGGAAAGGTCAGCACTCTGCAGAGGGGAAAAGAAACAGCCTGTGCACCATTGCTAAGTCTCTGTGCAGCTCATGGCCGAAAGAAACCAAAGACACTTTGGGTACTCAAAAAAACAAATGTTCATTGTTCATGAACATGCCCATCTGTCGGGGAGGATTCACCTCAGCTTTTCCATACCAATTGAACAAAAGAATGGAAACACCCCAAAGTCTGCTTCTGGTCCATTCCCATTTGCTGCTGCTCTCTGCCTCCACATCTGGCAGCCCTTGAGGGAGCCATACATAGAAGCTCTGCAGAACCCTGAATAAGGGGGTTACCTGCTGAGCCAGCCCTGCAATATGGGGGTACGACCGACCATATCTGACTGGCAGAGCTGTAGATCTGTACCTGTGAAAGGGTCACAGGAGACTCCAGCATCTTCAATGTGGTCACAGTTTTGCTGTCCCCAGTCACTCTTCTTGCACTGGTCAAGTGAGAGTTCATTGCCCGAGCACTGCACTTCATCCAGCAGGATTGGGCCAGATCCCTGCCCATAGTGAGCCCACGACAAGGCTTTTGGGGTCCCACTGCAAACATTACAAACACGTATGCTCAGTAAGGAAGGTCACAGTCTTGTGCCCTCAGATTCTGCCTTGCACAAGGACTCTGCTATGCTAGGTCACTGTCCTCCCATAGACCACCTGTGTTCCTGACACAGTGGAGTTGCCATCTGTTAACCGAAATATGTTATTGGAAAGTTTGTAACAAGCCCTTCCAACAAATAACAAAAATGTGCCTGCAACATGAACGGTTCAGACACATGGAGAGTTCTGAGGAAAATGATGTAATATTAGTCTCATTTACAATCTCAGTAACACGTGAAACTCCCAAAGTTTGAGGGGTCTCAAACTTGAATCATCTATTTTTTAAATAACCCTGTACCAATGCAATTTTCAAGAATGCTCAGGATGCAACGGCTCCCAAGCACAGAACGGCACACAGAAGAATGAGGTGCTCTCTCCTGCTTTTCTGTTCGAAGAGGATAAGGGCAGTCAGTGAAACTGAAGGTGTTTAAACTTTATCAATTAAGCAACTGCAGTCCACATATGGAAATCACAATGACAAGTTATCACTGAGGCCAACAAGATTTGCATTAGGATATGTCTGCCAAAATAATGAACAGGGGTCAACACAAACAATCCTTAGATAGGGATGCACCAACTTTTTTTTCACAGTATGAATCCATAAAACTGACCGGAATGAAGTACAAAATCCCTTTATAGGATGATCAATCCAGAATTATCTTTCCCAGAGTTTCTCTGTATCTCCAATAGAAAGGGCTGGTCATATAATGAATGGACACGCTCTCATGTTCTTCATTCTTCTTACTTCTGAGCTACTCCATGACATGCAGCAGAGAAATTACCTGAGTCCCAACTGTCTACAGACTACTTCAGCATCCCGGTCGTCCCACTGGTCGTCACAGATGGTGCCCCACTTGCCATCGTGGTAAACCTCCACTCGCCCTTCAAAGCTCTCCTTCCCCCCAACAATACGCAGTGGGGCACCTACACCTGTGCTTCAAGAAAGGGAAAGAGAGCACAACAGAACAAGACAGAGACAACACACATCCAGCAGTTCAGGGTGTAGAACCACTCACTGGCCACAGGAGCTCTTGGGATGCTCTCTTACCACACCCACCTCCCTAGACGCCCCATAAGCTCCCGTGATTGCAGCCCACAGTATGGGGTACTGCTGCTCCAGGGATGGCTCTAACAGGCTGCTCTGGTGACTGGGAGTTTGCTGCCTGCAGACAAAAACCTGGCTTGATAAAAAAGGGGATGTGGTCATACACAACAGTCATCTCTCAGTGACTGTAGACATATACCCATTCTGAATATTTGGGATTGGGAAGGGATAGATAATTTTCCAGTGGAAGGAAGAAAACCACCTACATAGCAAGTGAAAGAAGAACATTTTCCAATTATTTTCTCTCCATAGCTTCATGACCTTAGATTTTACATCTTATCAGCAACACTGATGGAAGAACCAGGGAGCAAATCTCCCCTGGATATTTACCTTCTGGAGGAACACAAGTTACCGTGGCACTCCCCTGTTTACAAGCTCCTGACACAGCTTCCTGATAGCCACACTGCAGCAGAGCTTTCTCATCCCCATGGCAGTTTGCTGACTGTAGGTGCAGGGGAACAGGCCATGGTCCAGGATGACTTTTCTTCCCAGCTGTGCCGATCTCACTGGTACAGAGAATGCAACAGAGCAATTAAATGCTGTAGCACAGCTTGACTTACAACTTCCCTCAGTGTTGTGACTCTCCAGTCTAGTTGTGACATCTCACTTCCCAGTGTGCCCAGTTGATTGGAAGGGCATAAAGGAGTGGTCACTTACAGTCCAGTGGGAAAGCACAACCAAGAACAAAGCACTTCCCACCACCTAACCCTTTTGTGTGCCTACTTACTGCAGAGGACTTGGTGTAGACAGAAATAGCACCCTCATTTGAGAGCAATGAACAAACCCATCAATAGACTCAAACATCCAAATATCTGATTCGCCTTCTTCCTTCTATGTGGACCTTATCTCCTTGCTTTTTGGAAGTTTGAACATCCAAATCCCAGATACCTGAAGAGGGTTCATACTCTTAAAATTTCTATTAGATCACTACCATAAGTGCAGCTGGTGATAGTAAAAAGGGGATGCAATCTCACAGCTTACTCATCACAGTCTGGAGCATGAAGCAGAAAATACTGGTTTAAAAAATTCTTGCAAATGCTGATTGGGTAGGAAAGGACCCTGGAAGGTGGAAAACTGGACCACAAAACAAACTCCTTTCCTCCAGCCAACACACTGTGCCGCAAGGACTGTAACCACAGATGCTTTTCTTTCAAAAGCCACACGAGCATGTAAGTCTTGCAACCAGATTGAGGTTCCCACCTGAGACCTAGTTGCCTGCAGACAACACTGGCATCCCAGTCAGTCCAGTGGTCAGCACAGATGGTACCCCAGAGTCCACTGACGTACAGCTCCACACTACTATCTTCAGCCAACCGCACAGCACCTTCCAAAAGAGATAAAAAAACCAAAAAATCCAGCTGCTATCTGCTGATGGAAGTTTCAGACCAGCAAGTCTTGGACTTGCATGTAGTTGTGCTGAACTGCACTTGGCTTCTCTCATCCTTGTTTTGTTTGTGCTGGCACTAAAGTGACTTGTATGAATGAGTGTGGGATGTGGCAGCTTCCCAGTTCCAGCAATGGCTGCTCAGGAGCATGGCTGGTGCTGTGCTGGTGCTATGGTTCTTTTCAAAGCCATGGTAATATCAGAAAGAAACTTGGCTTCTGCCACAGCTCCTGGATTCTTCTTCTGCGAAATGGGGGTGATTTTACATGCTACCTTGAAAAGGTGTATGGAAATGACAGGCTCTCCAATTACTTCTGACACTCCACTGATCTATTTCTGCCAACCACTTCACCTGTATGAGTCACGGTTGCTACAGCAAGATGTTCAGTAATAGCACCTGAATCTTCTTTAATTTCTCTAAGAAAAGCAAGTGCCAGTGTAAATGCCTTCACCACAAATATCTGCCACTGTTTAGACAGCACATCTCCTTGCTCAGTTATGTACTTGGAGAAGGACACACCTTCTGTCTGTAGTACCTCAGTGCAGGCACACAGCACCACTACACTTGAATCCTTCCCTTTAATGAAGCCATCTTTAAAAGCACATCCACTGGCAAGGGAAAAGACTTTGTCAATTCATTTATTAAACTGGGGCTTCAACTGTTCTGCAAAATGTAGGAAAGGCAAGGAAGGTCAGAAAACATGAGGACATTTTCAAGAATGCTGCATGGCAGCCAGTGCATTAAAAGAGCTCAGCTCTCTTGCTTGCCTCAAAGTAAGCAGCAGTCCTTGTGTCAGCACTGAGGAAGTTTAACACAAGCCTATGACCTACCTTGCCATAGAAGATTTACAAACCTACCCACAGATTTTTTCTTGTTATATTTGAACTGCTACACTTACATGAGGAATGCTCTGATATGGATACTTAAGGAGCACGAGTGGGTTGTTTTCCACATAACTTAAACTGTTTTCAAAGCGGCATAAGTTAGCAGGAAAAAAAAAAGTCTCCTTGTATGAGAATAAAACATCTATACAAGGCATTACAACTACAGCAGCTTAAATCCACCCCCTACTATATACAGACGTTCTTCTCCCACACGGGCTGGCCTCTAGTACTAATTATTTCAACAATTCGGAACAGTTACTGTACTGTCCTTCTTTCACAGGGTGTTCCACCTGCCACTTGCAAGTCTGTGCAGCACACATTTCTGGCCTGAGCCCCTGAGCAGTGCAGCCTGGCCACCGGCAGAGACTCACAGCCCTTACCTTGGTTACAGTCACAGTTGGACCAGCCGATGGCCCCTGACGAGAGCCGGTAGAAGCACCAGGGTGTCGTTCCCCCATCTGGGTTCCTGCAGTGGTTGTGGTCCCCCAGGCCACGGTCTGGGTACTGCTGGACATAATCAGGGAACTCTGCCCAGTTGAGGCACTCTGCCCCGGCCTCAGTGACCGCCAGCGAGCCATTGTAATAGCCCAGGGGTCCGACAGCACAGCCGCTGGATGCTGCACACAGGAAGGGAGCTGTTAGCATCACCTAAGGCACCACACACTGAAGCTCAGTGTGGGGGGTACCAGCTGGTTATCTGAAACACCTCCTGTGTCTGCAGTCTCCATTCATTGCTTGATTTCAGTTCCATCACTCTTCAAGGCAACTGCTCAAAGAATGTTTATAATACTCACTATCTAAACCACAATTTGATCTGAAGTAAAGAACTACTCAGACAGACCTTTGAAAAGTGTTAAATCTGGGCCCAAACCTGGACAATTTGAACTGGTTCCCATTACTGTACATCCAATACATGTACTCATTTTGGAGCACCACCTGAGCGTGATACACTCCACTACTTCCTTCCCCACTTACCTGAATAAGATACTCTCAAATTTGATCCTAGGCTCTATAGAACATTAATTGCCTGTCCAAATTGAGTGAAAATGAGAAGAGTTTAAAATTAGCTATAATTTCATTCTATAAAGCAGGACAGTGGGAAATGCCACTTCATTTTATATATGTTCCCTACACACATCAGTATCACAAACTGGCTTATCTGAACTTGGCCAATGTATAGGAAGGGAAAGAGAACTTATTCTGGGGGGAAAGTGTAGGTGCCAGTGTTCCAGTGGCCATGTGAAATATTTAATGTAAAAATACCAAATAATTAATTTAATATGCTCTTTAACAAAAGAAGAAATCTCTCCATTCATTACCCTGAAATTAAAAGAGGGAAAACAGACCCGGGTTCTGCATGAGGGTGGACTTTTTACAGCCCATAACAAGGGAAGAGTAGACTAAGAAAGGGACAACAGTTACAGCTCTATTCCCTGAATAAACAAAAAGAAGATAACACTTTCAGAAAACCCTTCTGCAGTATGGACACATGGGGCAAAGAGTAAGGGTAGAAAGAAACTTTGCATCATGTCATTTGCCTCCTAGCCACTGCCAAGCACAATAAGAAGAGGTGGGAAGCGACAGCTGAAGGTTAAATGCAAGGTACAAAATGAGAAGCAGCAGCAGGTAGGTGTCTGGAAAACACACTGTATGCTTGGCATCAGCTGGGACCCTCAGAGGGGAGTGTATGAGAATTCAGTAGTTATTAGAGCAGAGGAAAGGTGAATATGCAAAAAAGACCAAGGCCTTCAGAGAAACAGATGAAAAGAAAAGAATATGTGGGAGGAGCAGAAAACTGCAAGAGCATTAGAAACGAAGACACAAAAGTGGTCTGGCCACGTTGGTGAAAGAGATAAACAGACATTGAAGCAACAGAAGAGATTGAAGAAGTGATGGAAAAAGAGGAAGAAGGCCAAGTAGCAGTGGTTCATCATGCCTATGGTCTCAGATCACCACTGCAGGAAAGAATCTGCCCAATGACTGAATTAATAACTTCTTGTTCTTACCTGCACTCTGCAAATGGTTTTGGTTGGGCTGGGATCCCAGGAAAGCCTGGGAAAAGAAGCAGAGCAAAAGCACAGAGATGATTATCCGATGAAATAAACATGAGCATGTCCTAAAAGCAGCTCAGCTTTTTGCAGCTTTAGGCAAACACACTCTAGTAACCAGTCTCTTTCTTGCTTTCTCCATTGTTCCTCTTCAAATCTAATCATAGCTCTGTCCACTAACAGCAAAATGAATAATTACTGGCCTGCAGAGATTTACTCTAGCACTACCTTACAGGGCTCTGCTTGTTTTTTTTTCCAGTAGACTTGGAAGTCTGAGACGCCTATGGAAAGGAAAGCTAGAAGAAAATCATTATTATCAGTAAGAAAAATAATGAATAACTACTCATTCTCTCTTCATTTACAGGATAAGTCATCTATGGCCACAGTAACAGAGGTGTATCTACGTGATAGGACGATGTCCCCAGGATACCTGTTAAAATGGTAATAAACATCTATGGACGAAGCCGGAAACATCTAAAGAAGAAAATCCAACAAGGCTTTTTGAGGATTTTGTTTTTAATACTTGAAAATATGGTACGGCTTATAGTATTATCCAAATAGAGTTAAATATGTAAAAGCAAAAAATATGAAACAAAGTCCTCAAAATTCTAGCATCCTGTCTGGACTCAAAACTACATTTCCTCTTATTGGCAGTGCTGTTTGTGGTTATAACTTCACTTTTGGCTAAGAGATAGGGATCTCAACTCAACACCACTACAAGGTGTGCAAGCAAATGCAAGATCTTCACAGACCCAGAGTGAAAAGAAGAAACTGTACATGTTTCTGCTAGCTCCTTGTAGTTTAATTAGTTTCTAAGTATTTTTAATGAACATTTTTAATACTTTTATATGAACAAAGACTTGTAATTCACAGAGCAGAAGTGTGTACCTAAAGAATACTAGCTATTGGTAACAATTGTGGTTTTCTTCAAAATGCAGTAATTTTGCTTCTCTCAAATTTGGAATGAAACCAAATCCACTTCTGGAATAAGCAGAGGTAATTCCCACAGAAACCTGACACGAACAACACCTACTCATGTTAGATGACATTTTCAAATCAAGCTTATGAATATCGTCCAGCAGGTGTTGACAACCATGGCCAAGCTCCAGCATCACCCTCCAGAAGTCAGAATGTGATACTGCATTTGGAAGATGAATTCCTGACATGGTTCAGAAACAGCAGATCAGGTCTCAGGTGCTTATGCACAAGGGGATGCACAGATAAACCAGCATTTAACTGAAAAATGCTTTTCAGCCAAAAATCCATCTACCTGCATGTATCAGACTGCTGCAAGGCCACATAATGGTTTGTGAACCAACAATACTGAAGAACTTCTCCGAGGATCTCAAAGTTCTTGCAGAGAGAAGGAAAGTGAGCTAAGCTGCACTTTTGCGACTGCACCAAACAGGTGACTGAGCCACAACGCAGGTCCCTCAGCTCCTAGTTTTCAGTGTACACCTGCACACACAAGTAAACCTGCAGGTGATAGAGGGATGGGTCAGACTAATAACAGGGTATATATGAGAGTCTGAACCCACTCTTTTTGGAGCCGGACCATAAACAAAAGTACTGCAGTCCAAGTAATACATTTCTCTTCTAGCGAAATATTAGTTGCTGCCAGTTCCTGTAGCAGCTTCCAAAATATCCCAACTCTGACCATCACTACCAACAAAATTAAGTGCAAACAGCCTGTGCTGCAGGCATTGCCCCAGGTCGTGTGGCTATAAATCATCTGTCCACAACAGCAAGGGGGGCAATCAGCAAAGAACAGAAACAAAGGATCTCTCCTGCCAGGGTCACTGCAGAGCCTGAGAAACATAGGAAACCCAAGCCAAAGCATCTGCAAGCCCTTGTGCATCCTGCTTTCCTGCTTTGTTTCTTTTTCTGAATTTCATATGCTCAGTGAAACAAATCCGTTCCCAAACCCCCAGCCCTTCCCAGAGACCACAGCTGCCTAGATGCTCCAGAAAACATATTCCAGTAATAACAAGATCCACTTACAGTGAGGATATTAAAAGAGACATGTGACTTCTTACAAGCAGATAGAAAAATAACCACTTCTTACCTCCACACATCTGAGACAGGATAGCAGACTCGAGAGCTCCACCAGGAGCCCGAGTATTTTGGAGATCCCCATCCCTCCTGTAAAAAGTGGGCAGAAGGTTCCTCAAGCATCACATTCTCGTTCAGCTGCCGGGCTCTGCTTTCCCACGCTAGCCACTCCGCACCGGGGGCAGCAGGATGCCTTTTCCATTTCTACGCAGGGAAAGCGATATAAGGGAAGGGATCAAAGTTCCCGGCAGCATCTTAGAATTTCACTTTCCCTTTCCTTCCCCCATCTCTTCTCCTTGAGTCTTCTCTTCAGGAAGGGGAAAAAGATGGGAGAGAAATAAGGGAGCACAGCACGCCCCAGAATTTACCTAGCGCATCTGAAAGCGGGAGGAGGGAGCGCAGGCGGTGGGGCGCACCCTCAGCCCGCTCCGCTCCCCGCTGTCCCCTCCTCTGCCCAGCCTCCCCCGTGCTCCAGGTACGCGCTTCTCCCAGCGCCAGCCTCCGCCTCCCCAGCGCCCGGGCCGCCGCCCGCTCCTCTCCTGCAATGCCTCCTTCCCGCAGCTGCCTCTTCCTCCTCTCCCCGCGGCACAGAGGCTGCAGCACGGCGAGGAGCTGGGGCTGCGTCCTACTGCAAAGCCCCCGGCAACAACCGGGGAAGGAAACGGCGTGTGCGCGCACACTTGCCAGAGATTAGACTTCTTGGAAGGAATCTGGACTTTATCCCCCCACCGCTGCCTCCTCGATTACCTGCTTGCAGCTTCCCGAGGTCAGCTCTCCTCATACTGGAACCCAGGTAAATGGGACCCAGAAAACTTTACGTTAAGCAGCTTTCAGATCTCCCCATGGAAAACCCACAGGTGGGACAGCCTTCTCCAAGGTGCATTCCCAATTTTCAGCCTTCCCAATACCCCATGGGTATTGCCTCCAGAGATCTTTTCCATCAAGCTTCTCCTTGACCTTGGGCTTTATCTTCCCTCAATTGGCTGGGATGCTTTCCAGAGGGTTGATCATTATTGTATTACCATGAACAATCCCATGGGAGGGGGGTAGTGTTTTCAGCTTACTGCTCTTTCATCTGAATTAGGGTTTGAGGCTACAAGTTTTTAACACTATTAAATCTAAGAAGGGAATTTGGCCCATCAGATTTTTTTTTAAATTTCCCTGTGCTTCTTCTCAGCTCAGTCTAATGGGTATTTCCTATACTTATATTCTGATTTTGGAAGGATTAACTCTAGCATGAAACATGAAGGTCACCTTAAGAACTGAGCTCACTTCTGGCCAAGTCTGCTAAGTAGCACTTCCAAAGACTTCACCATAAAAACAAGGAATGGGCTGCTAAAAATCCATTGGCTTGACAAAAAGCCTTTTTTCCTCCTTCACTTATTGCCCATTACTCACTTCACTTGACAGTTTTGTGTTGCCTCATCCTCAGACAGTCATCAAAGGCAAGGAAATTTCACTACCTGCTGGATCTTTTATAGGAGCTGCTGAGTGGTAGGAAGGAGATCTTTCTGGAGTGCATTTGGCCAAGAATTGCACTCAGTTAATTAGGAGCAAATCTCCTATATCCTTGTAGTGAGGGAGGCAGACGATAAGGGCAACAGAGGATGGAAATAGCTTAGATGCAACATCACGCTGTAACTCTCAGGCAGCACTGGTAAAAAAGGAACAAATAAAAATACAGGACTGTGCTGGAATTTAAAACCACTTACTCCAGTGAAAACACAAGGAAAGGATATACTGGAGACACAAACAGAAAATCTACTAGCATTCAGAGCAATTTGCTCCTTAATCAGCAGTAGAAGTTATTGATGCTCCTTCAGAACTCCCTCCCAGAAGACACTCACTGTTTAGCCCTGACACATAGGCTCAAAATCTCTAGCAAAAGCCTGCACTGGATTTCTCTCACAGTAACTTCTAATTTCCTTCCCTCTCAAAGCAAGGTTTTCCTAGATAAAGTAATTTCCTAGCTAAAGTAGTTTTAAAGGAAACACAGGCCAGTGCACTGAAAGCAATAGAAGTCTAAGTCTGTATTCAATTTTTGGAAGAATGATGAACTGTGGACAGATATAGTGGGGTTTGCAGTTGTCTCCTCTGTGGGGAGTCTTCTTTTGGAACTAATTCCTTCTTGCCAAGACTCCCCTGGTTTTCTGGCACATATAATGACATTTTCTTGAGAGAGGTGTACCTCAGGATTCTCAAAAGCTTCTCATGGCTACATGGCCCTCTCCAAGGTAGAGGAAGAAAAACAAGGAAATTATACCAATATAAACACGTCAGTTTAGATTGGTAATGTATCTACAGATAAGGTAAAATAGATACTCAACTTCCTTGTATGGGCAAATTTGAAGTAGCTGTAAATATCTAAGTCCACTATTTAATACTAATCACCTTCTCACCCTGATACAAGCACACTTCTATTAAAATAAGCCTATGATTCCCTACAGAGTCTTTCTGTTTTGATTTTTCCAGATTATTCTGGATTGAATTTTGGAACAAGAAGTACCATCTTCCAAAATGTTCTTGGCTCTCTGGAATTCAACCCATTTCTCCTGAACTGGCAGGACTACTATTCATCAACACCAGCTGAAATACTAATGCTTCCTCCACAGAGATCTTCAGTGAAAGCCTAAAAAGAGAGGTAGTTAACAGCAATCATACCAAGGCTGGTATAATATTGAAGCTGTAAGGAACAGGAATAAGATCAAGGAATTCCAGCAGATTTGCTTAAATCCTGTAAATCCGACTTACGAGGGTAGAACAGCTAGTCAGCTTTTGTTTAATTCTTTCCCCACCACGCAATCACATACAGGTCTCTGCAGCAATGTTCTTAACCAGTGGGCTCAGCACCAGAACCCAGTTTTATTCCCCAGCAACAGCACCACGGAGCTCAGAAAGAACAGTGTCATTCCCTACAGTTACGCACATGAACTATTAGTGGAGTGATCCCCAATATGAGCATGTCACAGAATGCATTTAAACACCGACTATAAGTTTAACAGTGAGATACAAAACCATGGCAGCAGCTGAAATTGCCAAGGACAATCAGTAACTGGAGGGGTTTTGGTTACAGCACGGGATCCTGAGGCAAAAGAATTGCTACAGTACTTTTAAAGGAAGCACTGTAAAACCTGGATGCACCTGAAAAGCATTCTGTTTCCTTCTTTCTTCCTCTAAATAAATGAGGACTGGAAAACCTTAGCATAGTAATTTCAAGATTATGATAGACATGTAAAAGGTCAGACAGAAACCCAAACCCTTCACTGAATTTGTGAAGCTCACTGTGAAGCAGTATGATCCAAAAATAGCTGTTCAGATTAGTGGGAGCTGTGCAAAATTTCAGAAGTAAAACTATAAAAAGGTATTGGCTTCTCTGTTACAGCCTCTTATATAAGACAGTTCATTGCAGATAGCAGAAACAAAGTACCAGGAAGTAGCATTTCCTTTCAGTGTCTTTTGGACTGAAAATGCAGAATGTCATAGAACCAAAGTGTTTTCCAAACTTAGATGTGGACATTATGTTCTTACTGACCCCAAGTTCTCTGAAAGACCCAATTATGCCATAATAGCAACAACAGAACAAGCTACCCTGAGAATAATCCAGTCATGAGGCACTGTAAGTTATAGTTAAATGGAAATTTCTTCAATAACTTGAAACATTCACCTGACCAAAATTTACGGGATAAAACAGGTATCAGCCTGGGGCTCCAGAGAAGTCGGCTCCAACTCCAGCAACTCTCCAGTCACCTGTGGGTAATCTCACAGTCTGTGTGTGCCTGACTCCCTTCTTCCTCTGCTTTTTCTACATGCCTGAAAGAATTACTGATATAAATGGTTATAACAGTAGTTTTCCAAGACACTGCATTTTTCTCAGCAATTAGGTACTGGTCCTGAAGTTTTGTGGTACTGTAGTGGAAAAAAAAACCCACATAGAAACTAATAATTCATTACATGATTTCAGTTACCAGTTCATGCTTGAACTTTCTCTCCCTCTTTTGTTTTTTTTTTTTACCAAAAAACAGTGAAACATTTTGTTGTAGATTATGAGTTGCCCAAGTCAAACACCAGTCTTGCATTATTTTATTATAGTCCAGACAAAACAATTAAACTGATGTGGCACCATACCTGTGCCACCTGCAAATCAGAGTGCCTAAATCATAAGCTTCTACATTAAAGTTATATCTGATACTTACCAATGTATTGTGTATTAACAAGGCACTTTGGTGGAGATTTTTTGCACATTCTATAGCCTTTTTGTACAGCAGCAGCAATTAGGAACCAAATTGCGTATCCACTCCTGTAGAAGTATGAGCCATGAGATTACTACCAATTTTCAGCTGGCTTAGTGTTTGAACCTGAGCACTTCTCGACAGCAGCTCCAAAGCTAGGTAGAAAGCTTACATGGTAGGAAAAATCACCCCAAAACTGTTAGGAAATGCATTTAAATGCATTTCTAAAAGGTTTTATTTAACAGTGAGGACCCGAGTAGGCTAGTTCTGGCTAGCTGAACAACATACTGCAGAAATCCTAACACTGCAAGACCCAGGAATCTCATGAACAAAATTAGCTGATACTCTGGAATCAAAAGATGGGTCAAGATCGACAGAGCAGTGCTGACAGATACCACTTGACATCAAACACTCACTCAAGTTGACTTTTCTCTTTTTTGCCAGACTCCAACTTTAATTGCTCGTCCACAGTCCCCTTAGTAAAGCACATTATGTATAATGTCTGATCTGAGGAAACCTCCTCAGGAGCTTGTTCACTTTGCTTGAAGGTAAGTTTCCCCTGGATGACAGAGTGTCCTCATTTTGATTCCTGCGCTGTTTCTGAAAGACAAAAAAACCCCAAACCCTTAGTTTATCATATAGTATTATTATATTATTATATAACATTATACAATTAGAAACATCTAATTTCCAAACAATATGAAATTTATTTTTGAAGACGTCTAGCCTTCAAAGTCAGAAACAGCCTAAAAGAGCTCCTAATTTTCAGAGAATTGAGAATTGCCATAACGACCTCACATATCCTGAAAATTGTTTGTTATGAGGATTACTGAAAACATTGGTTATTTCTCTACCAACTTGTCTCCATCCTCACTCCTGCAATCACAAAACTATTTACAGACTTATGACACTGGAATTTGGGAATCCTAACTCACCACTCTCCCCCAATGTCTAGATAATGCAGGTATTGGATCAGCTATTTCTTGACTGCATGAATCAGCAGTTGCAGAAACTTGCCTATACTGCACATCTCCCCAGTTACAATATAATCCACGTGTTGCATGCAACCTCAGCTCCCTCAACCTCTCCTCACAGGACTTGTGCTCCAGACCCTTCACCAGCTTCATTGCTCAAATGAGTTACACCACCAAACAAATTGCTCAGAGAACATTATTACTGCTGGCACACAAAAAATGACTAGGGGTTTCCACCTTCCCTACTACTAGCCTTTAGGAACACAAAAGAGACTTTAATTACTTCTGCTTTTGCCACACAGTCATAGAACACCCGGATCTCCTCGGCACAAGCGGCGTCGTTGAAGTCATTCTGTTTCCAGCAGGCCATCATCACTGACATCTCTGTAATGCACATCGCCTCTAGAAGGGAAGGACACAACGAGAAGACTCAGGTCTTTAGGGCTTTATTCTAACAACCTCCACAGTGCATATATCTCCAGAGAAGTTTAAGATGGTGTCGAGGCAAGCGAGAAAATGCAGCACTAAAGATCTCAGCTTTGCTTTGGGCAGAGTTGACGCCCTCACGAAGATTAGCCCCGCTGCAACCATCCAACATATGACTGAATTCTTAAGGTACGGGCTATGCTGAGACACAACGAAGTGTTTTATGTGCGTGGCTCACATACGGAATAGCACAAGAAGCAGACTCTGGGTTGCAGCGTGAGGAAACCATCCTTTCAACTGAGCCTGTGAGCTAATCCCATGGCCCAAACCAGCCTCTCCCCCCTGCAGCCCCGCAGAGCACCGGGCGCCAGCAGCACGACCCTCCCCGCGGGGGCCGGGCCCGCCTTCCCCGCCACCACTCCCCGGGAACTCACCTCCCCCCTGCTCCCTGCGGTTCGCCACCTTGTCGGCGAGCGCCAGCGGGCGGGGCGGGCGGATGGTCGGGGGCCGCTTCCTCTGGCGCCACTGGCCGCTCACCCAGCGGGTGACCCAGCCGGGGTACGCGGGCCCCGCCATGTCCCGCACGGCCCGCGGCGCCTGCGCGGCCGCCCTGTGGGGCGGGCCCTGCCATCCCACCGTACGGGAAACCCGCCCCTTCCCGGTGCAACCTCCATTTCCCACCCCCGTCCTCTTTATCCGCGCAAAGGGTATTCCATGAAAATTAAGTAACTTCCCCACAGTTTCCGCGTTAGGCGGAACCACTCAGTAACAGCTGCAGCAGTCCGCACCCCAAAACTTTTTTTCTGTGGCAAACCTAACCAAGGAAGGAGCAAACACACTCTGCTCTTCGACGAGAGCAGAAGAAATCATGATTGTTTCAAATAATTCAAATGGAACTCAAGGAATCACAGAATGTGTGAGGTTGAAAAGGACCACAGTGGGTCATCTGATCCAACCTCGCTGCTCAAGCAGGGCTGTCCTAGAGCACAGGGCACAGGACTGCATCCAGATGGTTGAGGGAGACTCCACAACCTCTGTGGACAATCCGTTCCAGTGCAAGGTCACCCGCACAGTAAAGTTCTTCCTCATATTGAAGTGGAACTTCCTGTGCATCAGTTTCTACCCATTGCCTCTTGTCCTATTGCTTGGCACCACCAAAAAGAGCCTGGTCCATCCTCTTGGCACCCTCCCCCTTAGATACTTACACGCTCAGATGAAGCCCCTTCTCAGTCATCTCTTCTCAAATTCTTTTGCAACTATGGAAACTTTTCTTGATGCTTCAAACTCGCATCACTTAACTCTCAGCCCCTCATCCGTCTCCGTTACATTACAGCTGGATCTGTATTGCTCCTGCTGTTTCTTCCAAGAAGACACTGAAACTGCTGCTTCCGAAATGGTGGCGTCATTCCCACAGCCTCCTAGTTGGTGGTGGAAAATCCCCTTATTCCCAAAAGTTTCTTCCCTAGGGTAATTCTGGAAGTCCTCAACTCATCTGGCAGGTTCTGGAGCACTTACGTCCTCAGCTGAAAAAGGCAGGCAACACAGAAGGCACAGGAACATTTCAAGGGCTGGGGTACAAACAGGTCTCAGCACAGCAGGAGGGACAAGGTAGACGCAGAAAAATGAGGAGTTAGACATCAAACACTGGGGACACACTCAGATCCTTGTCATAAAGTAGTTCCTGAATAAGCCATTTTACCACTGTAGCAGGGCTCTTCAGGCACCAACAATCTCCCTTTTGCACAGGAGGACATATGAAGGATCAGTTTCCTTCCACAGGTTTGAGTTCTTTGACCATATACAGAATGCCAAACCAAACATGCTGGAAATAATTATTTTTTTTTTTTTTTGCACAGGACATTGATTTGGATTAAAATATATTCAACCTCCTAGCTATAGACATAAAAACCACTCCCCTTGCCTCTGCCTATTCAAGGAAGTTAACAAGACATTAGAAATTCTGTTAACTTGAGCTAACATCACCAGACCTATATCAGAATATTCTCAATATGGTTACCAGAATTTACTGCATCTGCAGATAATATATTCTGGTATGTCCAATTCTATAATTATTTTTCTGTTATTTTTAAAACAGTATATTCTTTAAGTCCA